CAGCTCCCCAGGCCCAGGCCCCTCTTTGTCTGGCGTGGGGGCAGGGAGCGCGCCTGCCCCAGGAGCTTCCTGGCCTCTGCCAACCCCTCCCGGCTCCTGCACACTGCGCGCATTGTCTGCATGCTCCAGACGGGCCGTGCTGACGTGGAGGCTGCTCTGCCCGCCGCCTCCCTTGGCCCTGTCCCTGTGTCTGCGGGAAGGAGTGGGCATGACCAGAGCTCGGGGCCCTCAGCCCGCTCTCCCAGGGCCAGACACCCCCTACGCACTGACAAGAAGGGACTTGGCCTTGGCATAGAATCAGGGGTAGCAATCGCCCACTTCACTGGGGACGGGAGACCAAGGTCTAAGCTGTTGTTAGACCCTCTCCACCAGCATGGGATGATGTCTCACCCCTCCACCTCTTCCTGAACCTGCTATCCAGCCATCGCATCCTAGCCCCAGTGCCACCAACGGCAGGGTCTCAAGCCCTAGGCCGTCTGCTGAGAAGTTGTGCCTCAAACAGGTGGAGAAACAGGCCCAGAGAGGGAAGAGCAGTGTCTCGGGTCACACAGCCAGGGGTGGCCCAGCTGGGACAGCCCCTAGTGCGGAGGAGAAGACAGGAAAGAGGAGGCGGCAGCCAGAAGAGCGAGGGGAAGCGGGACATGTGGGAGTGGGCAGCACGCCCCACAGGGAAGAGCCTAGAGCACCCAGAGCCTGGAACCATCAGCCTCCAGGTCCCAGTCTGGGACCGCAGAGTCCTCTTTTGGCCACATCAAAGGCTCAGGGAATTGGAGGGAGGGAGCTGGGGGGCACCTGTGCCCCGCTCTGGTGCTCCGGCTCCTGCACAGTGGTCGCTGGGGATGGCCTGGGCAGGCCTGTAGTCCACCCTGAGCAGCCTCCCTATAGCTCAAGCGTGTCTCTCATCCCCACTTGCAAGGCACGGAAACTGAGGCCCCAGAGGCACAGCTAACTCTCTGGCCGGATCAGGACCCAGCCCTCACTTCCTGAGTGATCAGCCCCAGCTGGGCCTCACTCCGGCCCAGCGGGAAATCCAGGGCAGACCTGGGCCCTCAGAAGACATCTCGGGTACTGTCCCCAGCTTCCTGCCCCCGCTCTGCCCTGTGTGTTTCTTCAGCCAGAGGCTTGGATCCAGCCATCCCAGGGCCCCTCCCAGCTGCATCGGCCTGTGCCCCTGGGCTTCCTCCCTCCCCTGCTCCTCCCCTCACCCACACCAAATGCGCAGCTGGTCGGGGGCCGGCCTGGCTCCAGCTGTCCATCCCCGGGGCCAGGTCTGCAGAGCCCGCTGTGTGCGTGAGAGGCCGTTTGGCTCTGGGGGCGGCGGGCGGGCAGCTGCGAGGACTAGGTAAATTCTCCATGGTTACTGCTGTTTGTAATTCTGCAGGACATCCTTTACCCGCTAATGGCCACTCGGACGCCATTGCGGGTCTGCACGCTCCCAGCCCTCATCCAGGAGGCCACGTTCCTAGCCGGGCCTGGCCCCGCTGGCTTCCTGACTGCTGGCATCCCTGAAGGTTGCATTCTATAGGCAGGGTCTTAAGCCTCCTGTCCTGGGGTGCAGAGCCCCGGGGCGCAGAGCCCTGGGACATAGGCTGTCCGCAGTCCTGTCCACGCTAGAGGAGAGGTGACAGCGCAGAGAGGCCTTGAGCATCTCCAGGTTACTGTCTGTCCAGCCTTCCTAGCTCTAGCCAGTGCTGGGGCTTGGCATGGCGTCCCCCGCCTTCTGCCCTGAGTGGTCCTGCAGAGAAGCAGGACGTGGAGTGCAAGGCCCCGGATGGCCCCACGTCAGCCGGGCTGTGTGAGGAGCTGTGTGCTGTAGGTTATCAGCTCTGGGCGAGCCGGGAGCAAGGCTTAGACGAGAAGGCAGGTCGGTCTCACCTTTGGGGCCTGTGCCTCGCTCAGAAGGCCGCCTGGCTGGGAAGGTGTTCTGTCGTTGATGACCCATGTCTGCTGGGGCAGTAGTGGGGACCAGCGGGTGCCTGTTAGCCACGAATTTGCTGTCAGTTGTCTAGGCTGTCGGCCCTGGCTGGTCAGGCTGGACCGGGGTCCTCTTGCCTGGGAAGAGGAATGGTGACAGTCGGTGGCAGGGGGCTGTGGCAGGCCCCGAGGCCTCTCCTGTGTGCAGCTATGCAAGACCGAGGTTCCTGACCCTGTGTCTCTCCCCGTAGCTGGGAGTGTCCACTCGCCTTCTACCAGCATGGCGACATCCTCACAGTACCGCCAGCTGCTGAGTGACTATGGACCGCCGTCCCTCGGCTACACCCAGGTATGCAGTGCTGGGGGCCCGAGGTGGCTGGGCACGGAGGGAGAGGTCGGGGGGAGGAAAGCAACAAGAAAGTGGGATGGAGCCGCCCGGGTCCTGGCTCGACTCAGTCATGGCATGAGGACCAGGATGGAGGGTCAGTGAGGACTGTGTCTCAGGGACAGCGGGTGGGGCAAGGAGGGCACAGGAAAGGCCAGGGCCCCGATGGGCTGCCACCCAACACGTCCCCCTGGTGGGCCTCTTTCCTGGACCGGCGAGGCCTGGTCCTGGCTGCGGGCAGATAAGCTCAGAGCAGAGGGCTTGTCCCCGCTGCTCTCGTGGCCGTGGGCATAAAGAGGGGTGGGCAAGCCCATGTCCCTGTGGGGTCGGACGTCTCCTTGAGGGCTGGCAGCATTATAGTGGCCCCTGGTGTGGCTGCTGTTTTCACATCTGCTCTGCCATGGGGTACCCAGGCTGGGCCTTGGCCCCCATCAGTCCTGGGGGCGGGTGTTAGACCCACCTCCCTGGCTGGAGGAGAGTAGTCACACTGCGGCCTCACCTGAGCCTCCATAGGCCATGCCGACCCAGCCACAGGTTCTCTGCCAGGGCCGCCCCCAGCACAAGTGTTCCGGGGTTGCCGTGAAGTCCTCCCTGGGAAGGTGGCTGGCTGCCCCCCACGCCCCACCAGGTTGCCCCATCTCAGGCCGGAGAGCGTGACAGGCTGAAGAAGCCACGGTGGTGGCAGGAAGACGGGCCGTGGTGTGGCCTTGAGTGGCGGAGTCATGCCCTGGCCACACGGCTGCGGCACCAAGACTGGAGGGAGAGCTCTGAGGCTGGGAGGTGGCATCACCAGGAAGCCAAGCAGCTGCACGGGGACCAGAGGCCAGCCCGGCAGGCTTGGGGGCGGAGGCAGCCACGGCAGTGCCGGGAGCAGACCAGGGCCCTTCAGAGGGACATGGCCACTCTGGTGCAGCTGTGGGGGAACAGGGCCCAGGAGGAGGAGCGGCCTGGGCAGGCAGCCTCACTGACTTAGGTGCTTGCCTGGGGCTGGTGGCGGCGGACCCTGCTGGTGGGGGGACGGGACACATCAGGCCTGGAGAGGGTCTGCGGCCCGGGTTTGGCCCTGCCCTCTGCCTGCGGGCGCAGGAAGTCCCGTGAGCGCTCTGGCCGACACAGACCTGTCCCCTCTGGTTCGGGACACCGGCGGGCTTTCTGGAGCTCCGGGCAGTTTGTTCGTCTTTGGGGACGTAGGAGGGGGGACCGGCGCTCTGGTCTACAGTCGTCCCCCAGAACAGGCCTGCCTCGTCCCCGCCAGGGGCCCCCGACCCCGTCTACCTGCCCCTGGGCTTGGGGCCCCTCTGCCCCACTGCTCGGGGTCGGTTGGGGTCCAAGGGCATCTGAAGTCGCTTGTCCTGCTCCTAGGGAGCGGGGAGCAGCCGGGTGCCCCAGAGCAAGGGCATCTGAAGTCGCTTGTCCTGCTCCTAGGGAGCGGGGAGCAGCCAGGTGCCCCAGAGCAAGTACGCGGAGTTGCTGGCCATCATCGAGGAGCTGGGGAAGGAGATCAGACCCACCTACGCGGGCAGCAAGAGCGCCATGGAGCGGCTGAAACGAGGTGAGCCGCCCGCTGCCCCATGGCAGTGCCGCGGGGACACTCGGTGGGCGGGACAGGGCAGGCCCCTGACCCACCGGGGTTCTCGCTGTGTTACCCTGTGGTGTGGAGGCATCAGACGGCCAGTGGGCCCTGGTGGGGAAGGCCCTGGAGGCCAGTTCTCTTCTTAGAGGTGCAGCCCCAGCTGGCCGCCTCCCTCCTACTCACTGCTGGGGGGTCTGCCAGCCTCAGGGCAATCTCAGTAGCCCCCAGACCTGCGGCTCCTTCAGGCCACTGCACTGCTGTGGCCCCAGGGCTGGGGCATGACCACAGAGGATGGGGTGGTGGCAGTAACCTGGGTTCAGGGCCCTCTGGTGCCTGCCCGCACGGCACTCGGCTGTCACCTCTTCGGCATCGTGGTGGGCAGGAAGGGGAGGCGGGGGCCCTCACAGGGCCGCGGGGTCAGGGCGTGGTGAGCAGCTGCCCTCAGGAGCTGTGAGCAGGTGCTGCCTCACAGGGGAGGGGTGGAGGGAGAGAGAGGACTCCCATTGCAGAAGGCGGCACGAGCTTGTTCAGACCAGGAGGGATTTAGCAGCGGCAGACAGTCGGAGCAGTAACGGGGAGTGATGGGGAGACCAGCCTTCTTTGGCCGTAGACCCCACGCATCAGTGGGTGCTGCCATGGGGTCGTGGCATCCCGGTGAGAGCTAGGCCAGCTGAGGCCAGGCTGGAACCCGGGCAAAGCTAGGTTGGTACAAATGGGGCAGGCTTAGGGGGCTGGCAGGGACCGTGGGGACGTGGCGCCCAGCCCTGCTCCTGTGCTGCACTCAAAGGGCACCACTTGGCTCCGGGGCTGCCGTCAGGAGTCAGAGCCGGATGGTCCTGGCAGCTGGAGTGCTGGGGTTACCCGAGTGCCGAGTGCTGGGACGTGTGGGCCCCAAGGCCTTAGCGGGTGATTTGCGGCCACCGAAACCAGCCTGTAGTTCAAGTCAACACGTTAACGTGCTGAGTGACCTGAGGACAAGACGCCTCCCAGGGGAGCCTCTGTCCCGGCAGTAACGAGGCGGGCCTACCCGGCGCCATGCCAGCAGCCACACCGGAGCTGAGCACCGTCGACAGGCCGGCCAGCCGTGGGCCTGGGATGGTCTTCAGAATTTCCAGTGGTTGAAAAAATATGATCTGGGGACACGTGAGAATTATGTCAGGCTCAGACTCGGACCGGAGGTTTATGGGAACATGGCCACCCCACCATTGACATATGACTGCCCGAGGTGGCTTCCATGGCGGCCGACTGAGTAGTTGGGCTGTGGGGGGTGGCATGAGCCTGCCTGACGCCGGTCCCACCCGTCTAGAATTCAGAAAACAAAGACGCCAGCGAGACTACCCCGGGCGGGCTTGTGAGGGACCTGCTGGAGGCCTGTTGAGCCCCATCGCCAACAGGACGTTGTGAGATGAGCTGGCTGGCGTTCAAGGAGAAAGCTTTAGGGAGACCCGAGGAGTGGGGGCAGGAGGGAAGGGCTCTGAGGGGGCTGGGATCTAGTGGTGTCCTTGAAAGCCACTTGCATGTTTGCGTGCGCTGGGATGGCGGGCTGCTGCCTCGCAGTCACAGGCTTTATGACTGGGCTGCAAAAGGATGGGTCCGTCCCCTTTTCCGGGCCGGTTCTGGGAAGCCTCTGCTTCTCTTTCAGGCATCATTCACGCTAGAGGGCTGGTTCGCGAGTGCTTGGCAGAGACGGAGCGGAACGCCAGGTCCTAGCCCTGGCCCGCTCCGGGACCTCCCGCCTCTGCACAGGACGAGAAGTTACAGGCCACCTCCCGGCTCAGAGGAAACTCGTTTTCACAATGGTAGCAGTTTGGTTTTTCCTCCGCAGTTCACTAGGCTCTGAAACTATGTCTCAAGGTTGAGAAAGGATTCTTGCAGTTAGTTAGGGTTTGCATTTTAAGTAGTTAGAACTACCCAGGATTTTTCTTTTTTTGAAGTGTTGATTTCAGATATGCACGCGAAGTTACCTTACAGCAAACTGGAGTTTGCCTCCAAGGTACCATTGTCTCTTTTCCATTTCCTTCCTTAAATACACGTTGTTGCCCAAGTTGGCCTTTGCCTCTTTCCGAAGCTAACACACCTCTAAGGGTCTTGTTTCTAAGGCACACTTGACAGCACAGAGCCGTCCATCTGGTGTAGACTCTGCCTAACCTAACTTCTTTTCTGCCTAAGTATTTGCATGACTGTTAGTGCTTTGAAGTCAACTTTAAAAATGTACAAGTTATAAATACAGAAGAAAGAGCAACCAAACCCAACAGGGTTCCCCAAACATTTTCATGAAAGACTGTGTAGATTTCAGTTTTGCATTTACTGTAAGTTGATCAAAACATCTGGAAGAAAATGACTTAAAACTGTTTGCATCTTTGTATGTATTTATTACTTGATGTAATAAAGCTTATTTTCATTAACAGTTTGTATTAAGATGTGGGTTCCTTGAATTTAAGTACTGTGTTAAAACGGCTCAGGCAGAGGTAGGAGAGGGCCGGAGGAGGCGTGGTGATAAGGGCACTGGAGAGGTGAAGAGATACCCACCCAAGGGCACTTCCCACCTGGCGTGGAGACATTCTGTCACGTCACCAGCATGGCTGGCTGGGGACACACGTTTGCTTTTAGTCAAAGACGGGTAAAGTGGAGCTGCCCGTGGGTGCATATGCGCCCACTGGAGAGGGAGAGGGAAGGTGAGAAACACCCCGGGGATGGCCATGTACTGTCCCTCCTCCATTCTCTGGGATTTTGGGCCTAGGTTTGGAACTGCGGGGTCAGGGTCAGCCACGTGGGATCCAGCCGCCTTACCACCATGCCACTCTCTGGTCCCCTTTAAATTTGTGTGTGTGTTTCCTGGAGAGAGAGAGCCGCAGCCCCTTCCCTCCAAAGGGGGTTGGCCTTGTCACAATCCTTTCTCCATCCTCTTCTTGGGATCTTGTACATACGTACACATGTGCTTGGTGTTTTTCAAGCCACCAGGTCTGGGACCCGAACTGTGTGTGCAGTTGGCCATGTGGGATCCGGCCACCACCAGCTGGAGGCCCACTGCAGGTGTTTTACTGCAGCAAACCCGTGAGCTCTGGGAAGGAAGACGCGGAAGCTGTAAAGCAGTGTTCCCGGCCCGCGTAGGCTGTGCTCAGGTGTGCAGTGATGACCTGGCCACACCTCCTGGGCGCTGCAGGAAGCAGCTTTCCATCACGTGGCCACTGGACACGAACTCGTGGCGTCACCTGGTGCTCAGGTGACCCGCGCTGGTGCTGGACGTGCTAAGAATTTGCGGGTGGTCTTAGCACATCCCCCCCCTGGAGGTATTTGGAGTTTGTGCGTGCTCTGTCCAGTTCTTTGTTAAAGTGGGCCTTACTAATAGGAATATATTTTTTGAAAACAATTTATTTCCAGCCTTTTATGATAAAACACACAATCACACAAACCAATGTATAGCTTAAAAAGAAAAAGGGACACCATCCTCTAACTGCTGCCCAGGTTAAGCAATAGAATTCCGGGGCTGCAGGAGCCCGAGTGCTCCTCTGAGTGCCACTCCTCCTCCCTCCCAAAGTAACACTGTCATTCCGCTCTGTAATTTTGCTTTTTCTTTATTCTGGGTACGAGTGCACGTGAGGATGGACATGCGGGGAAGCACTGTCCCCAGGCCCTGGTCGTGCGAGACCCCCTTCCTCCAGTCCTCCAGCTCGCTGTGTCCTGGCCACTTGTACGTGTGCCTGGCATGTCTCGGGGGCCAGGCCGGGGAGAAGGGTGCGTGGTGGCCACCTGGGGTCCAGCCTCTCGTGTGTTACCGCTGTGCCACGGAGCCAGCCTGACTGGTGGTTTTAAGCTGGAAGGTGCGTGTCTACTTGCTCTGGCTCAGCCCACCGTTTAGAAAACGTGGATGTCATTTAATGTGTCTGAAGTATTTCAACGGCAGCTCCCGTCTCCCGCCACCCGCCCGGGCC